CGGGTCCGCCAAGTGTCGCTGACCTGGCGGACACGTAGCTTCCGGCGAGCCACGCGGGCGTCTCCGGCGCCAGAGGACTAAACAGCGAAAAATTTCTACTTATAGGACTAGTTTGCGACAGGCTCCACTTACCGAATAAAATGATAAAGGGGTCCAGTTACGGGACTTAAAAAAAACAGTCTACCCATAAAAATATAACAATCCCAACGACACTCTGTAAAACTAAATTAATCAAATATTGAAACTTCTTATTTTGAGCTTCGACTTGATCTTGAAATTTTGATGTTAACTTTTGTCGTTGCTTCTCTAATTGTGCTTAAACTCGTTTTTCTATTTCAGCATTCTTACCTTGAAGTTCTGCACATTATTCCTCCACATGTCGAATAGTTTCTTCATTCTCCTCTTTGCTTGGCTTCAAATTGCTGGATTGAGAAACTTTACTTGTTATCATTATGTGTTTACTTTCGGAACCAAGTCCCGGTAATCTTCTTCTCTTTACCCCAATCTTCTTTATGTTAATTTCTTGATCTTCTGATGTTTGAAGACCATCATGACAAAATTAATGAGATCTTACTTGAACATTTATATAAAAAATCAGATTACATATAAAACTATATTGAGTATGCAAAGAAAAATACTGCAACACTATATATATATATATATATAAATATTAAAATATATATTATTTTATATAAAAAATAAACATCTATATAATTTAAATAAATTAACAAAAGTCTATAAACAACAATAATAATAAAATGTAATAAACTATAAATTATAGAACTGACTTCAAGTTGGAAAGTTTATAATTAACACAATATTTCACATTTTATATCAATTAACAAGATATATAGCAATTACCTCAAATCTTTCCAAGAACCACTTAATTGTTGATCTTTTGTCATCCAACCATGCTTCATCAATTCAAATATTGTTGGTTCTTTTCCCAATTCCAATATCTAATAAAAATTTAAATAATTTCATATTAATATCAAGTTTCATGAAAAAAAGAAAATTAAATTAACATAAATTAAATTTATAGAAATATTACTATTTTTCTCCTATGTTTAGACGACATTGAAGCCGAGCCCCCTCGATAGAATATTGTGATGGTGTTGGCATTGAGACTTCGAATCCGACGATTTTTTGCACTGATATTTTTAAATGATTTTGAATTCCATTTTTGTAGCATTGTTGTCCAATCTTCTTCTGCAATCTATTTCTTTTCTCGTTGTTCAATTTGTCATTTTTCTTCACATCACCTAACTTCACGAAGGTGTTTCTCATCCATCCTCAGACCACTGCTTTGGATTACTTATAAGAATGACTTTCGTCTATAGAATCCCAGGTGAATTTCACCTATTTATGTAAAATGTAAAATATTTTAATTTATTGAAATGTAAAAAGTATTGACGAATTTTAGCTTAAGAACCTTTATTTGATGAAAATATAATTGCTTGTGTTCATCTGGAACCTTTTTAAATGAGATCCAAGGTCCATTAAATGAACTCTTGATGATCTCTCCTAAAGTGCTTTTGAAATCTCGATCTACTTAAATATAAAATAATTTAAATGACACATTAAATGCATTTTGCACAAATTCTTGAAATATTACTGTGTATTATGTTTATTAATTTTGAATACATAAATTAGTAAACAACTTACTCCATGTCATTTGGTCGAAGATGGATTTGAGTGGGTTTATCCTGTTGTGGTCCAGATGTTTCATCTAAATTAATTTGTAGTGCTTGAAGTGTTGGATTACTAGATGACAGCAATCCGGGGATGATAATCTTTCTCTATTTTGGGAATAATTAGTCATTCTCATGTCATGGTCATTTACAAGTGTTGATACTATATCTACATAATATTAAATATAATATTAGTTTATATGTATATAAAAACATATATTAGGAAAAATAAGTGCAGAAAAAATATCTATATTTTGATATAATCTAATGTAATTTTATCATATAAATTTCAAGTAGCTGTACTTATATTCAATAGAAGTATAGACATTTGGTTGTTCTATAAAATCTCAATCTTACCATATTAATATTAAAATAACATTATACTGTAGTAATAATAGTATTGGTTGTATATAGATCTAAACTCTTGGTTGTATTATTATGTATAAGCATTTAGGTGAATATGAAGATTCTCTATTAACGTAAAAGTTTAATCTTAGAAGCTTTTAAAATATAAACATATTTGCAATGAACAACTCAAAGAAAAATATAATTTTTTATAAAATATAATAAAAAAATAACAACAATATCAAATAAATTATAAATTATTTTTCAGCACTGTTTTTTACTGCATTCTTCTACTCTGAAACGAAAATATCAATAAACACATCTCACAAAGCAATATAGCATAATACTTTTAAGAAACAAAAAATCAATGAATGTAGGTTTGATATAATAATTTCAATGCTTCTTTAGTACACAAGAGAAACTCTGCTTCTCCGTCAATTTTTTAGTTTAATATTTCACACACAACAATTTTTATTATATTATACTGAGATCAACACGAATTCTAATATGATGGATGCAACCGTGGAAGTAATTAATAAATAAATAAATATATCTGATGCCATGTCATAATACAATTGTGTCTAATTTAGCTATACAATTATTACACCCGGATTTGGATATTCACTCAATTTGTATTTGTGGTGAATACTCTTAATTGCCAACAATTTTTATTATTAACTATACCAAACTTGTTATCTTTATTAATGGGACTTACCAATTACCATACTTTTTTGTTTGAATAGAAACCTTTGTTTCAAATTATTTTGTTCCATATTTATCCACTTTGATTCAATACTCATGTATTCAGGAAAACTTAGTGCAGGTTAATCAATCAATATACATAAGATAAAATTAGATGAAAAAATTACAATAATAAAACATTGACCAACATGGACTAACCACAAAACCTACGTATAATTATATTATTATGTGCAAGCATTGGGGTGACTATGAAGTTTCTCTCTATTAATGTAAAAGTTTAATCTTAGAAGCTTTTAAAAATATAAACATATTTGCAGAGGAGCAAATGAAATATATATATATATATATTTTTATAAAATAAAATAAAATAAAATAAAAAATAACAACAAAACCTACGAAAACATCAATAAACACATCTCGTAAATCAATCTATCAGTTAGACACAATACTTTTCAAAAACAAAAAATCAATGAAGTAAGTTTGGCATAATAATTTCAATGCTTCTTAGTACACATGAAATACTTTATTGCCCCATTACTATAATTTTTTTAGTTTAACTTCTCACATATAACAATAATTATTATATTATAGTGAGATCAACACGAATTCAATAATTAATCAAATTAGGCAATAATCAACTAACAATAATTAATCAAATTAGGCAATAATCAACTAACAGTGGGATGAAGAAAATACATAGGATGACCATTAAATTGCTTGATACACAAATATATATATATATATTAAAAGAGATAAAAATAAATAAATCTAAACAGAAGAACATTACATCCAATAAATATATACAATTCTCTGGACAACGAAATTAAATAAAAAATTTATTAACAATAGTGATTAAATTTACAGTTGAAACGAGCAAATGCAGAATATAAATCCTAGAAGGTATTGCTATTCATATTTGAAAGAAAAAGATAAATTAAAATCAAAACAGATTTATAGTATAGATTAAAATCATATCAATATAAACTTATCATATAAGTTCACCTGATTTCAGATCTGACTTATGTGAAAAAGATTTAAATATTAAAATATTTGTTTTTACTCTTTAAGATGTTTTAAACTGTAACTATTTTTTCTCTTGAAAAATATTAAAATTTTGGAAGTGGAGGAAATTTTTTTTAATAATGCGTCTTGAAAATAAAAAGACTTGAAGGAGATAATTTTAAAAATTTTATATGAAAGAAGAGAAAGAAAATTAATTAATAGTGCAATCATCGGTGATGTTCGTATGTTAATGTAATATATTTGTTATAATTAATATATTTCACATATTTTATAAAGTTATATTATATATTTTTTATTCATTAAGTATAATTATAAGAATGAAATATTTTTTAATAATTTTTTTATATTTTGAATTGATTTTTTTTTTATCTTATTAACATATTATTTACTTTACTAAAATTTTGTAATTTTATTATATCATAACATAAAATTTGACAAAATATTTGACATTGTCAAATTTATGTTTTTATTATGTAATTAATCTAATTATGTTAATTTATTTTATTTATAATATAATTAATTTAATTATGTATACAAATATTAGAACTAGTCATCATGGGGCTGATTTTAAAAAATCAAACACCTAATCCCCTTATGACTACCATAGAAGCATAGGGAGTGTTGCGCCCTCAACAACTATAGTAGGTGGTGTGATCTGTCTTGCTTATTTTTATTTATTTTCTTTTTTGGATCATTATCAGAAAAGTATTTTTGTTTTTTTTTTTTAAGTAAATAATCGTTATGTTTTTGTACTCTTGTTTTTATTATATATAAAAAAAATAATTATTATTAACTTTTATTAGAATTCGTATCCGATTAAATGAGCACACATATGCACGATGAAGAGAGAATTTTGTTTAGTATGTTAACAGTATTTTTTGAATGTATTTTAAAATAAATTTTTGTTCAAATCAATTTGCAAAGTAACAAGTTACAACGATGCATGTGTCATATGTAGCTAATATAAAATAATAAATATATCTATAGTATATTATTATTTTTAGAAAATATAAATTATATTTTCTTAAAAAAAAAAAAAATGAACAGCATCATATATTAATAAGTTAAGGTATTGGTGTATTAAGAAGCCAAAAAAAGAAAAGGACTGGTGGAATTAGAAGGATTGATTTTTGTGGGCCAAGGGATATATATGGAGGCGAGAAAGATTAAGGAGAGAATTGTGATAAGAAGAGCAATCCAAGTGTGAGGTCCAAATCTCACCATGTGGATAAGGCAACGCAAATACGCAATTACCTCCTCACTCTCATCTCTATTCGATTGCTCCAATTCCAATTCCCATTCTTCTTCACTAGCTAGCACAACCACAACCTGACCTAGAAGACACAAATGGCCGCTCCCATGGCTGCTTCAATGACCCTCCTCAATCCCAAATGCTGCTTCATCCCCAACCCTAAGATCCCCAAACCATTCAAGCAATTCAAATCCCTCCCAATCCCAAACGGCCTCACTCCCACCGTATCCATAACCGCCCCTGCCGTTGCCGCCGCCATCTTCTCCACCCTCTCCACCAGCAGCCCCGCCATCGCCGCCCAGCAGCTGGCGGAAATCGCCGACGGAGACAACCGCGGCCTGGCCCTCCTCCTCCCCCTAATTCCGGCCATTCTCTGGGTGCTCTACAACATACTGCAGCCAGCCCTCAATCAGCTGGAGAGAATGAGGAGCACCAAGGGACTGGTCATCGGGCTCGGGCTTGGCGGGCTCGCTGCGTCGTCGGGCTTCCTCCACCCGCCGGAAGCTTCCGCCGGAGAAATCGCAGTCCTGGCGGAGGCGGTGAACGACAATAGGGGCCAGCTTTTGCTGTTTGTTATAGCGCCGGCTATTGTATGGGTTTTGTACAATATTTTGCAGCCTGCTTTGAATCAGCTGGAGAGGATGAGATCTCGGTGATAACATATATGACCACAGTTAATTAATTATTACTTAATTATATGTATAATATAATATAATATATGTGATCTTGGTTGTTTATATATGTGTATGCCTCTCATCTCCATCTCATCCGATTTGCATGTAATTGTAAAATTGTATGCTTACGGGGGAGTCTTTTCTTGCACAATCTCAATTTTTGAACTGCTCTTGGATTATTGATTAATATTGTTGTTAATTAGCTATGGTTGATAACTTGAAAGTTCTTCAACTAAGATTTGAATTAATGATAACAAATTCTCAAAGCTTCCCAGATATCCAACAATAGCCGCTACTCGAGTTTGGATAAATCCTCGGCCAAACAGAATATCCTGCAAATTCAGTCTGACAAGATAAGTACATTAGGCGAACCAAGGTGAATCTGGAGGCGTCGTGATTTGACCCATGAGGTTGGACTTTGAACTCATTACTTCACGATCACAAATTCACTCGTCACACCGCCAGACCATCCTTTATGGGACCGAAGAAAATATATATATAATTAAATTATTGTATACTTCCGGGTACCTTGATTTATACCCAACGGCCCGAGGTACAAACTTCCAAAGAAAAATTGAAAAGCTAAGTCTAATAATGTGAATAAAGAATGAAGAGATCTGAAGAATACAATCGAGTGTATAAGATGCTATACCATTGAGTTGAGCCCCATTGGACGAAGAAACAAAGTCCAAGAGTCAATGTTGGTTAGGTTGGTCAGGCATTGATGTATAAATGATATGATATATATTCACCTAGAATAAATCAATCAGAAAAGAATCACAATCTTCAGCGAAAGTCAATGTTGCAAAGGTATAATGTAATTGAAGAATCTATTATTCGTTGCACCAAAGGGTAAAACAAAAGGGAAATTATTAGTGTGAATTTGGCTGGAAAAACAATTGGATAACTTAATGATCAGTTAAAAAATAATAATAATAATAATAATAATAATAATTAGAAGAACATCAAATGAAAACAATTGGATAACTTAACGATCAGTTAAAAAAAAATGACTAGAAGAACATCAAATGAAAATTATACAAGGAAACAATATAGATTCGCTAAAACAATCAAGGACCCTGAGAGCAAGTTCACGGACTCTTCTGTGAAAGCTTTCTCACTAATTAAAGAAACAATACCGTGTCGGAAGGCTTGGAAAAGAAGGAAAGAAATAGGAAGAATGCGAAGGAATATCAATTGGAAACACACCGAAAAAGTCACCATAAATAATACATATTAGAGAGAGGAGATGAATAATTGTTGTGTCTTTAAAATGGAAGAATGAGCACCATTTTTATTACAACTCCTTTGAAAACCTACCATTGATTTTTAAGATAGCCTCCAGATTAAATTTGAGTAATGACCACCATTCAATCGTGTGTATTCAAAATTTCAAAATCATGTAATTTATTGCATGAACATTATCCAACTTTAATGCATTATAATTTGTAATTACATTTAATGTTAATGCATGCATATAAACGCACATCCGCACCAATTTATGCAATTTAAAGTCATATTTCATGCAAATATATATGTATATATATGCATGTCCATGCACCTATAGTGAGTCTTTTAAATGCATGCATTTTTGAGCTTATATTGTAATGTTATTTTATTGGACTTCGATTTCAACAAAAATATTTTGTTGTTTCGAGCAAGCTCCGGAGCAATATAGACTTCGCTAAGTCTAATATTTACCAAGCCCAAACTATAACTCACGACCAATAATGGTCCAGGCGAGCGGCACGCGCTTGTCGCTCACTGGCATTCATATGCCTCATACAACTCATATGCATTTCAACTCACCAGATAATCGGTTTCAAAATTTATGAATTTAATTTATAAATTAGATTTCATCGATTAAATAATTAACCGATTATCCAACAATCTCCCATATGAGTGGAAATACCCATAATTAGGAAAAAACACAACTTAGTTCCAAAGACATTGATACGCCAGGATAGGTAGTTTGTGGCTTTGAACCTTCCTTAGTCAATATCATTGTCTGCACTTGTGGCTTAGTTGACATGATACATTGAACTATTCCACCTTGGTGTGCATCTTAGTCAATAATATTGACATGTCGCTAGCTCAACCTTATTTGGTTATCATGTTTTGATCTGTTTCAGGCATGGATCACATCTTTGGATTCATAAGTGTTTCATTTGAAGTGGCCCTCACTTCACATTTACATAGGTAATCCTATCTTAAAGTATCCAATTCTACTTTTAGGATTATTAAGAGTCAGAGACTCAACCTCACCACTTTGCACATTGTAACACTCATAGCTATTTAGGGAATGGTAGTCGAGTGTTCGTGCCGAACTATTACAACTTAATTTTCCCATTGAACCAATGTTTGGGATCTCCAAGTGATTTGTACATTTGATCAATATAACCATTTGGTTAGCGGATCCGCAAAATTTTACATTGACCTATAGCCAATATTCATAACCCCACTAGTGATCAATTGTCACACATTGTTGTGTCTATCGGATATGTGGAAATTTACAATTGTAGACTTCATTCTCAGCCTTTGCTATTACAGCTTGGCTATCACAATATATCATTATCGAAGGTACTAGTTTTTTTTCTTCTTTTTTCTTTTCCCAATTGATCGAGCTCTGCAAGTTTATTTTGTAGACTTCCACAAAATTGCTCCACCTCCGATCGTGCAGACATATTCACTTGTAGACAACGAATATTTCGTGTCAGACATTCCATTAGCATCACAGTACCCTCAAGTACTAGAGAATATCTCGTGTAGTGTACGTAAAAAATCAAGAGCATATTTTAAATAGCACAAGACTTTTACTAGCTCTACACAATCTATCGCTTACTTTGCAACTTTCTTGAAAGACGTTACTTCCACTTTAGGAAGACACCCCCACACTTTTAAATATTTGTACGAAGGTTTCTTGTCTTTCACTTAATGAATTTTTATTCAAAATATAATTTGCAGTTAGAACTATCCCACAATTTTATTTTTTTTTTTGGTAATTCTGAATAAATCAACAAGACATTTTTTATGATTCGATGCCTTATTATTATTATTGCTTTTTTTTTTCTTTTTAATGGGTAAAGATAGCAATATCTTATGTAATTATTTATAAATGTGATAAATATATTTTTTTTCACCTCAATTTTGCACATCTTTTAAATCACACATGTCCATGTGAATTAAATCCAATGGCTTTTTCTTTTTCTATTTTTTTTTTACTGAAGAAAAGTATTAGTCATTTTTGTCTCCATCCAAACTTTTGAGTGATTACTTCTTTAGTAAATTGAAATTTACTAGCATTTAGACCAACATGTCATCTTGTACAATGCTATAAATCAAAATACTCAATCAAATACAAGGAAGAAGAAGCATTATTATTATTATTATTGAGTGCCCGATGCACTGTCATTACATTTAGCTTAAACATTCCATTGGAAAAAACATCGCAAATCCTACAGATGTTAAATAAAACAACATATTCTCCTGCCACTGTTTGAAGTCCACCCCTGTGAATGGTCGAGGAACCGGCACCTGCACCTGGGGTGTCATGCGCGGGAAATATTCTGAAGTTGCTGACTGGGCTGCAAACGCTGTATTTTGCACTACAAAAGCTGCAGAGGGTGCATCAACAAATCCGGGGAATCCTCTTAAGCTTCCGGGAGCAAACCGTGCGAACCCGGAAGTTGGTCCAATGTATGCTGGTGTAGAGCCGGCACCAGGAATCCCAGTTGTAGCAACACTTGGCAACTATGTTATTCATAGCATCCTCAATCGATAGCTCAGGGAGGTCGACTCTGGCCGATGACACGATCGGATTTCCGACAGCATTCATGATGTCACCTTCGTGATCGTGATCGTTGGCCACCATTCTTGCAATATATCTACAAAATATTCGTTTTTACGATTGTTAGAAATATAATAATAATAATAATAATAATAATAATAATAATAATAATAATAATATTGCAAGAATAAAATTATCGAAATAAATTCGATATCACAATAATTTTTTACCGAAATAAATTCGATAATCAATTTATTGAAATAAATTTGATAATCACAATAATTTATTGAAATAAATTTCAATAATCAATTTATCGAAATAATTCAATAATCACGTCGAGTCGAGGTAGAACCTCTTTCTGTAAAAATGAAAATGCCCCGGTAGTACCTCCGGTTTATGGCGCAATGTTCCCAAAGATAAAACGGCGTTCGTCTTCAAATTAGGTGGCACTCCAATATTTTGGAGCTCCGGTGAACTAAAATGAGGTGAACTAATACATTGTCGGAAGGCTTGGAAAGGAAAGAAAGAAATAGGCCGAATGTGACCGGAATATTGATTGGAAACACACCGGAAAGGTCACCGGAAATAATATATATTAGAGAGAGGAGATGAATAATTTTTGTGTCTTTAAAATGGAAGAATGAGCACCATTTTTATTGGAAAACACATGGGCTGGGAATTACAACTCCTTTGAAAACCGACGAGTGATTTTTAATGTAACCTCCAAATTAAATTTGAGTAATAGCCACCATTCAATCGTGTGTATTTAAAATTTCAAAATCATGTAAATATTTAGTGCATGAACATTGCTGCCGGATTCATCTCCTCTATCCAGCCCTCAACAGCCGACGCCGGTTCCAGCCTCAATCTTGTCGACCGCCGCCTTCAACTTTTTCCCCAACTGCTTCGACTGCCGTCGCTCCTCCCTCTCTCTTTCTCACGTCCAGCCACCGCGACAATCTCAACCAAACAACTCCAGCCGGCGGCGGCCACTCTTCTCCCCTTGTTCGATACAAGGCTGCTCTGTCGGGTACGTAGTATTTTGCCAACCTTATCCTTGTATTGATTGAGGTATAATTTTCTATTGTGCTTAAATTCTATTGCCTAGAATTGTGATACCAGCGCATATGTTTGATGATTTGGATTGATATTGTGAAGTGAAAAGGCATTGTTGATTGTGAATAGTTTTTCCTTTGGAATCGGTTGTGTTTTGTGGTTTTTAGCTGTTTTACAGATTTTCTATGGCTGCAATCCGACATTATCTCAGGCTATTCAATCGAGTATGAATCATTCCACTCACAAACTATGTATTATCAAATTCCTCCCTATTCCAGGGCAGTCTCTCTTTCATTTCCCTTTCTTTACCTTACGAACAATGTGTAGTTTAGATATGGGGGATT